GCACAGAATGCGACGACTTTTCCACTGATTCTTGAAAGAGCCTTTTGTGAAAAGAAACCCCCCATAAATCTTCTGTGTCAATGTAATTCATCAATCCCCAGAAAGTATTTTATCATAGCAGTGGAAAATACATGTACAGGCTGTTCCAAATACCTGTATTGTATGTCAGTGAAATGCATGTAGTTTATGGTCTAATAACTCACTAAAAGGACCTGTCTGTACGGTCCTACACTTTGTAAATAATATTTTGTTAGGATTTCAGAATTTGAGTATTGGTTTCCATGTGCCGAAGACCAGTCCAGCTTCCTGTAGGCCTACTGCATAATACATGTTCATATGGGTCCACTTGAGCATTCAGACTTGACAAGATACCTAAAAAAATTGCAGACAAGTGGTTACACATTCCTCTGTGATCCCCCCCCGTCTCTCTTCAAGGTGTTGTACATGTACGTCTGCTTTTATATTGTGCTGGATGGTGTGGGCCCCATAGTTTACGAGCAGCATGAACAGCTTGAGGAGGAGACTAGGCAATATTGATAGTTGGTACAAACAGGCAGTGGTGAGTTCTGATCTTTTTTGTAACGGTGAAAAAGTGAACTTGCACCATGTGTGCATGCAGAGGTACGTGTACGGTAGATCATGTAGATGTTATTCCAGCCCCTCTCTCCCTTGGCAGAAGGCAGTACCCCCTGGATGCACCCCCCCATTGGAAATCATGAAATCAACACAACCCACACATGTACTACATGTGGTACTGTACATGTACAGCAGACCTGCTTTCGCTCCTTTCCTTGAGAAGCATGTGCATCTTGATGTCTCCCCCACCCGAAATTCCATCCCAGTTGCACTCGGTGTACAGTGTTAGTGACTGGGCTGTACCGGTACTTTCCGCGGCCATGCAAAATCCTTCAAAACCACCTGGAGGATTTTGATGGTTATGAGAGGAGTTGGCAAGTTTGGGCATAGAACAGGATGTACATGTACATGTGAATTGGAGTGGATGGATGCAGTAGGTGCTTGTAGGGATACGGTACATGTTTTTCAAGAATTCTGATTTGCAGCAGGTGGAATGCATGGATGTCAATAAAATTGTCCGAAACAAACCGCATAAAACTACACGTACATTTCCAAACATGCCAACATTAATTTCCCCAGAGGAAGTTAATGATTGGACTTCATTGTCTAAGTTCATTTACAAGTTTGTTTTTGAAGTTGATTCTGTTGTGGTGAAAGTTGGATCTTTTTTTTTTCTTTTTTTCCAGTGAAGAGCAATTTGATTCATTGAATGCAGCCAGACTCATGTACATGTACAGTACTTTCTCTGTAATGAATTCATTCAACAATGTATGGCCGTGTCCGAAACGGGCTTCCAGAGCTACGGCTACATGTAGGTCTTTTGTCTACGCGTCTCCACGCATTTCTAATAGCATGAAGACCTAGACCTAGCGCAAGACAAGAGATTCGTATGCAGCCTATGCAACTGGAGTAGAGGTTAAGTTACTGGTAGCTGCATTCTTTTCTGTACTCAATGTGATCATAAATTTTTATGGAATGAGACTGACGTAGACTGAGTCCTTGCACAGAGCAACTAACGCAAAGCAAATCGTACATGACAGTATCAATAACTGGATGATTTGCATAGATGTTGCCCTGTTCTATCAAGAACAGGAATAAATAGTTTGCACGTGAGAAACCACAGGACTGTTTCCAGAGGTCCATCCTAGAAACTACATGTACGTGTCGCCAAATATTTCTGCTTAGAATTGTTTTGAATACATGTACATGTACAGTGTACTTGTATGTACTGGTACATGTATAGGCTATGTACATGCACTCTGTGCGTTGGTCTTTTTGTTGCATAATATACATGTACCTTTATCAGAAACATGGACAGGTTCATGTTTTTCTTGGGAAATATTTCAGTTCCAGGTTAGATGTACTTTAATTACCGGTACTCACAGGTGTAATTTAGTTGTGTGGAATTTACAGGTAAGAGAAGAAATTCATTAGATGATGACGTCCGGTGGTAATGAGACTATCTCAGACATGTGAAGGATCCAGGAAATGGAAAGCAGAGGGGGGGTTGCTAGGGTACATGTAGCAGCTGAGGAAATGTCATTTATTGTTCATATGTGAATGAAACGAGGAGCAGCTCGTCTGCTGTGGACTTACCGCACATGTACAGTGTATGTAAGGTTTCACTGATTGGCTGAGGTATGTACATTACAGTACACGTTTTGGTGATGGGTTTTCCATCTGTACATGTATGTACCGTGCATGTACACGTACAGTATGGAGGCTGATTTTCTTGCAATTTTAGGGCAATTTTTATCAATGTGTGTGTGTGTGTGGCTGAGTCTGTTCTATGCACATGTGCATACATGTACATGCACATGTACATGGACATGTACCTCCAAAGTCTGTGAACAGATTTTTTTGTAGGAAAAAATGCGTCTCCCTGGTGACAAACAAGCTTGCCCTCAGAGGTACAGTACAGGTAGACTTGTGCTAACTCTTGAATGAAGATTTCTGCAGGGACGACATATTTGTGCACATTCTGACAAAATTTGGTGGTGCACATACAACGTGCTCCTTACCACATGAATGTGAACCAGTTAGCGAATGTAGCCAGCCCCAATTGCGATAATTCCATGGGCAGTGCAGATGTACTTGTATCCTTAGCAGATGCTCACACGCATTGAGTGGGCAACTCTGGATGAAATGTACCCTACTGCTATGTGTACAAAGTCCATTCTGTGCAATCGCACTCTCATCATTTCCAAGTCGTTTCATGGCACTGTTCTTTTAAATTATACACGTACGTACATGTATGTACTGTTCATTTAGTGCAAGTGATTCAGTTGATGAACTCAGCGGGTTGCATCTTTTACACACTGGAGCTGAAGGGTCCATGTACATGTACCTGTACATGTATGCGCTGAAGTATTACAGATAACTGTCGTCTGAATGAATGTGTGCCAAACTTGGTGATACAGTTCACCTGAAGTGCAAACATGGATTTAATCTAAAGGTCTGAAATTTTCTCAGTGCATATTCGTGTAAGAGAAAACATTTGTGTGGATGGAAGTCTGGCAAGCGACTTCTGAGCCCCCAACAATTTCTCCCTGAAAACCGGATTATATTGGAAAATAGTGTGTGATGGGTGACCCAAACATTTCAGCATGCGTAAAGATAGACACAGTGCACCACATGTTCATGTACGCTGTTCATGTACACTGTACATTGTACATGTACCTGTTGAAAGTGCCTCGAGTCTGTAGAACATTGTCTCTCTGGACGTGGAGCTGATGGACCAAAATCCAATTCTTAAATCCCTTGGTTTCTATGACCACTTTGAATTAAAATCTAACAAAAAAGACTGGTAAGCTGTGCTGCGTCAGTTAAAAAAAAGATATCTCCCAGTGATAAATTACATATGGTGGGAGACTGTACTGGTAAGTGCACTTGTGTTCTGTCATTTGTTCCTTTAAATACTACATTTACATGTACATTTACTGAGCAACGGAATGCAGTATTCATGTACCAGTAAATTCACACAGAATCCAAGCTTTTGAACAAAACTGTTTGCTTTCTAATACTTTGAAAATCAGTTTTGCACCGTAGAGGTTTTTAACAACATTTGTGCATATGTACATGTGCATGTATTTACACATTTCTCCAGTTAGCATTGACCCACTGATACTACTGTACCTGATTTTAGTCCATCATTTTACTAGCAGCGCAAAAGATTACCGGTACTTTTAGTGATTCCATTTTGGAATGTACATTTTTCAGATTTTATAGTCAGTTGCAATGCACATGTGCATGTACGATATATGCAGTACTGGTCTAATAAAAATGCTTTACAGTGTCTCTCTCATCCAGTTGTGTCAAACTTTTTGTCCATTCCTGTCTGTGTTTCCCGATGTATGCCAAAGATTTAATGATGTCTCTTTGCATCTGACGGTTTAGGCAGAAACAACATGTACAGTGTAAACCTTCCCTCCTCCAGCCCACGGCACCCCCAACCATGCCAACTCCCATCATATTGTTTGCTTTTGCCCATTAGATTATTACCATATACATGTAGAAATGTTGTACTGTGACATCAAATTTCAGGAATGACGTGAACTGAACGAGTACCATGTATTGGTTATACAGCAATCAGGGGATACATTTCCAATGATTTTCATTGAATCCATCTCCAGTTGATACTGCAACAGGTGCAGAGTATACCATTGTTTACCAACCTTGGAAAGCATTTCAACTTTTACGCATTCAATTTTGTCATATACGTTGTGCACAAAATGTTGTCTACCAGTGAATTTGGTGCGCGGTATGAGAAATACGTGTGGTTCTTGTTAAGGAGGACAAGATCTGCAAATTTTCACCGGTACACTTGGCGTCAGAATCTGTCCACGCATGGGTCAATCATATTCCTTGGGCTGTTGCATGTGCATAAGGTCCCAGTCGGTGGTAAGTGAAGGAAGAGCACATGAATGTGTCAGGAATTGAAATGTGCATCATACCACAAGGACTCGATGGATCTATCCCAATGACTGCACGTGCATGCGAATGAAGCAACCCTTCTCCATGATTTGGAGCCTTTATCCCTTTCGATCACCAGTAATGTACATTGTACATGTGTATACCAGCACATGAACATGTACATGTACCCGCATGAAAGACACAAAAGGACGGCACAGTTTGGTTTGGGTACAATTTTCATGTTTAGATAATATTGTTTGAGATGTTCTACTTCAGAATAGCTACATGTATGGGTACCTGAGGAAGTACCGGTAGGGTCGAGCTGTAAGTGGTTACTTCCATATCAACCCATTCTTGGAGTAGAGTTTTATGCTTATCATTTTGTTCTATTCAGTGGGATCAATAAATGTCATGGATTGGTTTTTGTACGTAACTGGTAAACGTACATTTGATTTCCTTTTACATGTATTTTTATTTTCGTTCTTTGTTTTGTCGTTCTTTTGTCAATGCAGTTTGGTAGTAAGTCCCGCCCTAGACCCAAACCAACAGTCCAGGACTTTGACAGGAAGCTGGCTGAGTCCGACGCCTACCTTCAGATTCTCATCGACCAGGTCACCGCGTTCGAGGAGAGGATTGAAAAATTAGACGACGAAGCCGAGAGGCAGAAATATGAACAACTCAGGACCCAGGCCAAGGTAAGGTGATTCATGTTGGTCTTTGGATGAGCAGGTGCAGGGGAAAAACTGGTTTTTATTCCTTTACCAAACCCTTCGAAATTCATCAGGTGATTTGCAAAATGTTGCAGGATCAATAAATGTCGAGCCCAGCCTCTGTTACGATACATGGGGTCTGATGCCCCTTGACAATTGAAGTGCCATTGGGTTTCTGCCTTGTACATTTAGAAGGATTGAGGAAGATTTAGATGGATTACTGTTATACAGTTCAGACAGTTGTCTTGTCCAGAGAGAAGTAAGATTTTGAAATGGCTCGCCCATGTCAAGTCAACTGTTCCCACTCTACTAGTACATACTGTAGGTTTTTAAAAGCATGCTGATTCCGCGCATGGAGAGTTGTCTGTAGTACTCGTGTTAATAAGCACAACCCCTGGACGCTCGTGGTAATGACTTGAAAACTACAGCAAACCCAGTCAACTGTTCACAACAATATGCTTGCAGCTGTGCACTTAGAAAATGGCAGGTCAGTCCTAACACTGTTGTCCACTTTGGTTAGAAAAGTGAAGGTCAGTTTGACCCATGGAAAACCTTGAAATAGAACCCTACAAAAGAAAAGGAATTTTCATCTTTCTTAACCTGATCTCGGCAAGGTATCAAAAAGTGTACAGTGTTGGGGAGGTAAAGAGAGAAATGGCCAAATCATCAAGTGTTGCACTAGACAGACACTGTCAGCTTTCAGAGTGAGCTGCCCAAAAATTTCAAGGTTTTTCCAGAAAGGAAATTCTATTATTTTCAAACAATGAAACGCCTCTGCAAAACAGTCTGCGAGCTTGGTAATTTACTGAGGCATATCCTGCTCTTTTGTGTAAATCTACCGTGGGATTGCGGAGAATTATAATACTTTATGCATGTCTTCTTCACACAGGCTATGATTGAATCTGTCAAGCAGGCCATCGTGTTATTACAACTAGCAAAGGTAGGTTGGAAATATTTTTCTGAGATATAGTTTTGGCAACTATCATGTACACGTACTTGGCATACACCTTGCTGTGTCTTCCGCTCATGTCTTTTATTCTGCAGATTTTGCTGCTGTATCTAGTAAGGCCTGCTCGGTAAATGAAAACCATGGATCAGTTTTTACCTTAACATGCAAATGTACCATAGTTCTGGTTCAGTGGCATTCCAAAATTTTGCCTTTTTCTTTAATAAGGAAATGCAGTCAGTTTCAATTTTATTTTTGTAATAGTATGGCGCCTTTTGCTGTCAACTAGATTAGAACTTTAAAGAGTACTACAGATGGGCAAAAGGGAGACGGGCTTCCTCTATCTCCAAGAGCCACTTGTTGAACCTTAGTGCATTGAAGTCACATGTACATGGCAGTTAAAAAAGTTTTCATTTCAAATTGGTTTCAGAAACATCTTGCTACATGTTTGTCAAAGTGAACAGATTTTGAAAGGTTTTCCCTTTGCTTACCGTGGTTTACAGTGGAACCAAATTGAAGTTTCAGTGCATGTGTATTGTCCCAATTAATTGCCAAAGGTGCTACTTGCAAATGTTTTGGGGAGGGATTAATCTGTTTAGAATGGGAATTTATGCTTCAAAACTTATGAAATCTTGAGAAGTCTTGCGCGAGGCAGTGTGACCTGTACTTTTCTTGAAAACAGAGGGCTTTCCGTCCAAACCCCAGGTTGCCAAGAATTGCCGAGAGCACCCCGCGCTGTATGGAGGTGTGCTCAAATAATGTTGGGGACATGTCAACGTGATAATGGAATGAGAATAGCACGCGGCGTTGTCGGGTTGGGGGAGCTTTCATTGGGGTCACACTTTATGCGCACGCACTTGTCTGTTCAATTACCGTACTGTACAGTGTTAATATGAATAACTTTCATTTGAATGTGTACAAACCTGACACATCTTGGACCAGGCCTACCGGTATCAGCCTCTCGCTCTCTCTGTTACCTCCAAGGAGGTGCATCCGTGTACATGTACTTGGGCGTGGAGCCAGCAAAGTGTCAGGGATATACATGTAGTACAATGGCTGGACTTTCAGTTTCCTTCCCCGTGTCATTTCTGCCATCTTGTTTCTCCCATGAATTGTGTTTGTGATTTCAATTGCTGCTCTCTTTGTTCATTTTCACGGACAACGCAGTCCACCATTATATGGCCTGTGAAGGCTCCAAAAGTGAGTATATTGTACAGCGTCAAGCCTGGTGTTCTGTCATGCCACAGCATGCATCATTGCATTAAAAACCAGTTGAAACGTTGCAAAGATGTACCCCGTACAGGTGTGTATTTTGCACTGCCTTGTGTACGGTCCATTACATAACCTGACCAGACACGCCAGAGATAGTGCTTTTGGGCCAAGATTCCATGGAGAAGAACGTTAAAATTGTTGTGAAGGTCGACAGCTACATGTACACATATTTTATGACCAGGTCGGTTAAAGTTAACCGGCCCTGAGCAGGCTGAAGCAATGTATGCATGAAAAAAGTGATTTGTGTTGGCCCCAATGTCACAGTGCTTGTCAAGATACATGTTTATTTTTGTGTTTCTGCCACACGCTGATGGACAGCTGTTACCAAGTGTTAACAACCTGCACCCATTACCAAGCCTCAGCACCTTTGCGCTCGCTCTTTGAAAAGTCACTTCACTGCATTGCAGACCCAAGTGATACTGGTGTATCACATGAAAGTTACATGTACATGCCTGTGCTGGGCGTAAAACTCAAACTGTTTTGTTCACCAGTATTTCACATGAAGAGAACTTTCCAGACTTTGCCACGTACAAAGTTTTAGACAAGAGGCTAGAATTTCAGAACATTTGACATGTATGTTTTTAGGTATGCCTATTTCATTTAGGATGTCACTCTGTGCATTTTTATCGCATAGAGTTATGGGTAGCATGGTGTGGATCAGTGCATTATTTATCCAGCCAGTTACATGTACTGTACATGTATATGTATTTACCACAGAGATACATTGACATGTGTTTGTGTATCTTTTATTGTAACCACATTATGACAGTAATTCCTTCCATGTGAAAAGAGTTCCCTCCTTCCATATTAGTGTTGTGTTTTCTTTCCTCCGACATCTCTATGAAACCCAAAGTTACATGTATGATTTGTATGTACGTATCATCCCATGGACCATCACTGCATGCATCATCCGTGCTACTTGCTTAGGTAGCATTGGACATCGTGGAGGCATGCTTGTTAATTGAGAATGTCACAGGAAGGGGCAAAGTAAAGTTTTTTTGGGGGGGATACTAATTTGTCATTGCTTGGTTTGGGGGTTTGTGCCAGCCCCCCCAAAATGGTCAAATTTACTGGACTTGCTCCCGCAACTGCACCCTACAAGCTGAAGGAAAATGAAAGGAAGTTTACGTTCACTACAAAATTGTCATAGATGTACATGCAGTTTTTTCATTTCTTGAAAAATACCATCTTACTGAACATCAGCCAACTTTCCACCCAAATTTTGGCTGATTAATTTGGAATAAACATGTACGTACATCTTGTGCACGTAAACTGCAAAGAAACTTTACCTGTCCCTGCAGGAAGAACATTCCTTTTCCACTTCGGGTTTTTAGGCCCGATGAGGAGTCCATCGAGTTGGCCATGTTTCAATTGGGTCGGCCATATTTCAATTTGGTTGTACATATGGATGTGTACATGTATGCATGCTGTCATGTCGGAAATGGATTTTGGTGTGTGTCAAGTACCTGCAGATATGTATTCGTAGCTGGCTTTTCGTTGCGCATGTTGAACCCAGAGATCCCACCACGGCTGGATTTCATGTCACAGTTTGCAGCCTGGAGATTTGCAAAGTGAGGTGGTGAAGACAGTGCTCCATTCAAAGGGGATTGGACACCAACTAAAACATGCTTGCATATCTTGTCTGCACACAGAACACAGTCAACCCAGTAAATGGCCTCCTAGCCAATGAGATTGATGCAACTCACCCTGATAACCAGAACCATGAGCCACTTGACAACCAAGTGCCTTTAGAAACACAAGGTAGGGAGGATGTTTACCGTGTACATGTACGGATCCCATTACACGTAATCGGGATTTCGCAAGTACAGGCATTTCAGCTGAAATGAACTTGTTTGCACCGGCAGATTGATTTCTTTCTCTCCCCGAAACTTTCTATTGAACATTGGAGCACTTTACGTACGGGAAGCTGAGCCTTGGCCCTGGTGATTACCCACCAAGAACTAAATGTAAATGTTGATGTTTTTTTAGAAATTTGCAGTAAATTTTCTTTAAGGATGCCAGTTTCTTAAAGTTTGTAACTTCGGGATTCATGCAAGTTGTGCCTAGAAGTATGAGTGCATCGACATTATTCTATTGATTTTACAACAGTAAGATCTTACCATGTGTAACAGTGCAAACATCCTAACACAGTTTGTTCAGCATTCACCCATAGAGACTGGTTATTGAAGAGGTTTCTAAAGAACTCTGCCTCTTTTGTTTTTGAACAGTTTCCACCCATGAGGTGGAATCCACTCCTGTGTCATCGAGCAGTGTTGAGTTGGCCACCGAGTGCTTTGAGGAGAACAATGCCTCCGTACCGTCCACGCCCCCACTCCCCACTCAGGTGATCCCCAGGACTGAGCACATACCGGCTTTGTCCTACTCCAGCAGTGACGACGAGGATTTCTATGATGCCGACGAGTTCCCAGACTTGGACCTAGGGTAAGTACGAGATGTGGCTGAGGAAAGTTGTTAGACTGTAAAAACCAGAAGTTTGAACGGGTGTGCACAGATGTGATGTCATTCCCCTTGAATGTGCAGATCTGTCTTGTCATGCAGTAGGAAGTGCTTTGTTTAGAGGTTAAGGTTCAAATCATTCTTATGGCCTTGTTGTATGTCCTCCAGCAAGGTACTTTACCTTAGCAAGAGGTACTGGTAGGTTCCAACCACAGGAGAAGGGTCAAGAAAACCAGCCAGTGCACCTGTCAGTTTTGTTAAATACAAATCTATAAAATCAACAATTCACTTTTGCCCATGGATCAAATGAGTTTAAGCAGTCTTATACATGTATGTCTTGTTCTTTGATACAAATGTTTTTTTTTTCTTTCTGCAGACCTCCGCAAGGAAGGCCACCAATCGAAGTCGAAGACGAAGAAGAGGCAGAGCAAGGTCAAGAGTTTCGACCCCATGAACACCAGCCCAGCATGTATGAGGAAGAATCGGAAGAAGAAAGTGAGTAGTGTGTTGCTGGAGGATAATGAAGCGGTTTGTTATTAATCTCATCTGATATTGATACTGTATACATGAGGTTACAACTTAGAGTCAGGCATGGTCAGGTAGTTTGCAGTTGCAATGAGAAAGAGGGGCCAATTATCATCTTAGCTTGACATGTGAACATGCTCGGGTGCATATTGGTTTTAAGCAAAGCTACCAGGGTTATGCTCATTCTGTAGAAAATTGGCTGTGCTGTCTTCATGCCAGCACTATCCTCATGGCCTCATCTTTGTATCTTTGCACAAGATTTGTGAATATCATTTTGGTTGTGGTAGGCAAAGTTGAGGAGGCAGTCGTGTGCAGAGTGCATTGACCAAGTTGTTTCTTTGTGTTACAGTGCTGGACTGTGAGAGTCACGGTAGTGTCATCTCCCACCTCCTGTCTCAGGTCCGGCTAGGCATGGACCTGACCAAGGTGGTCCTACCCACCTTCATCCTGGAGAGACGCTCCCTGCTGGAGATGTACGCCGACTTCCTGGCCCACCCAGAACTCTTTGCAAAGTGAGTACAATTGGTTTCTACCCTATCCTCCTGCCAGCTGTGGAGTTTTTGCCAGTTAGACATGGCTTTTGCCTGTCAGATTGGTATGATGTCCCTTCAGTCAGTTTGACTTGAGTTTTTGCCAGTCAGATGGACGTGTTTTTTTAAGGTCATTTGGACTTGACTTTTTGCCTGTCGACTTCTTCTTCCTGTACCTCAGGGTTGATTTTTCTGCCATTCCACCTGGGATTATAATGGGTACCTGTGAGGGTACACGTACATGTAGATACCGTTGTTTGATTTGATTAGCTGTTGCTCCCCAGGGAGCTGAGACGAACATGGGAATATTTGTGACCCGGTGGGCTGGTGTAATAATAAGTGCCTTGTATCGCCGGGTAAGTTGGGGCTGCCCAATTACAGTCATTATCATCACTGTTGGACATGACAACTTGTTGCCAGTCTTAAAAAAACGATTGTTTCCAAAACTTACAGCATCTCAGACTTGGACAGCCCCAAGGATCGCATGGTGCAAGTCGTCAAGTGGTTCATGACAGCGTTCCACGCTGGACGCAACAGCTCAGTTGCCAAGAAGCCCTACAACCCCATCCTAGGGGAGACCATGCGTTGCTGGTGGGACCTAGGACCAGAGAATGGGAAGATAGACGGCAGTGAGGTGGGTGTCTGTCTGTTTGTCTGTCTGTCTACATGGCTGACTGATGTATCCTTCCTTGGAAGCTTTATAATGGTTCGATGAACTAATTTAAGTAAAACTTTTTGTTTTTCCATTCAGGAACAAGTGACAGATGGGCCAGTTCCCTGGGCAACCAAAGATCAAGTCACATTTATAGCTGAGCAGGTTTCCCACCATCCTCCGAGTGAGTATGCAATCTTTCCAGACTCCAGATTGATTCAATTCACTGCACTGTGCACAGAAAACTTAGTTACGGAGAGAGTGATGAAATTTGCATGCATCAGTAACAACATGTAACCAGGAAGGCATCGCTGGCTCCTTAGGCCTCTTTCAGGGATTGAGGGTTATATTTTATTGGTTGATGCTGGCTATAAATTCAGGTGCTAGAATTTGCAAACTTACGGAAATCTTGGCTTTCATGTGAAAGAGGACTTCATCGTTACGAGAGTTTGATGGCCAGTAACAACTTGTTGGAGAGGAAGTATTTATAGCTCATCACTTCAACAGAACGAGAGCATAAAATTAACACTGGATCTCTTTTTTTCCTTTGTTCTTGCTTCAGTTTCCGCTTTCTATGCAGAGCACTACAACAAGCAGATGTCTATCAATGCCCATATATGGACTAAGTCCAAGTTTCTCGGTCTTTCAATTGGTGTTGAGAATGTCGGGCAAGGTGAGTCCATTCCTGAAACTCTTTACTGCCTCAGCTACTCCTCGTTAGAGACCTCTCGAGGAATTACTGAAGAGGGACCAGTTTTGCAGTGTTTCTGGAGAACAAGCAAAATCAGCGTCAATTTGTGTGAGACCGAGCAGTTTTGTAGTTTTTTGGACCAGTGTATAAAATGAAATTAATTAATAAATTGAAATTATTGAATTTATTCCAACATGTAAACGGTTAAGACTGAATATTAAACTGCAGGATGATCCATGTGTATAGAGCATTCATGGCGAATTACTGCTGGGACTTCTTTAAGAAATCTACTGTACTCGGAATAAACACATCTAACTAACTTAGGAAGGAAATTGTTAAACCAGGGCTGTAGTTGACCACTTCATAAACTCCCTTCCTCATCACATCAGAATTATCAATAGCGAAAATGAATTTAAAGCAGTTCTCAAAACGTACTTGTTCCATTGATTGTTCTTTATTGTTGTTTCTTGTAAAGCGCATCGAGACCTTGGTGTGATGTGCTATATAAAAACTGTGTTGTTATTATTATTAATATAAATATTTAACAAGCACTCATGGTAGCTTCACAGGCATTTAATACATGTATTCACAAGTACCTGAGTGCATCGAATTACTTCCCTTGGCACTTACACCTGTGGTATTGCCACACGTTAAGATGTGCATGCGTATTATTTGGCAGTAACCAAAGACAAAGGTGCCACAACCTGTGGAGGTTGAGCATATAGAGCCCTCAAGCAGCCTTGGGCCTCGGAGGGTCATCATAGAAATTTACTATTCCACAAGGTTGTGTTTCACAATGTTTCAAACAAGTGAGAATGCCATGACAAATGATGTATAAATCTTGAGCAAGAGACCACCATGGGTCAGCATTTGTAAATACAAAGGACTGCGGTGGTGGGAGCTGGCCATCTAAGACAGTGATTTTCAGCCAGGGCACAAATTTGTTTGGAATAATACCATCCAGGAGTAGTTAAACGGGCAATCTTGTCCCCCCCTTCCTCTTTTTGCAGCCTGCGTGTCAGACCTCAAGCACGAGGAGGAGTACATCATGACGTTCCCCAATGGCTACGGTCGCTCCATCCTGACGGTGCCCTGGTTTGAGATGGGCGGCAAGTGCATCATCAGCTGTGCCAAGACGGGCTTCACTGGCACCATCACCTTCCTGACCAAGCCCTTCTACGGCGGCAAACGCCACCGTGTCACGGGAGAGGTTGCGTGAGTTATCTTGCCGTACAATCCACCCCCCTCTCTGAAAATTAACCCATTAGTCACTGTACATGGCTAATCTCGTACTTTTCCAAACTACCCATCCCGTTAAGAGGCAACACACCTGCTTCAGGGCCCAATTAGGTCAGTGTCATTTTTTGACATTCTTTTGGTCATACATAAACCTTTAAATATTCAAAATACCATGTGGAGGAATACTAAATGCTAAAATTTGACAAAGAATGACTTGTAGACTTTTCTTGGTCTTTGCAGGCATGTGTCAGATCGCAAGCCGTTCATGACTATTACAGGAGAATGGAACGGTGTTTTGACTGCTAAGCACGCTAATGGGGTAAGTAATATTAAAAATGGGGGTGAATGCTCGGAGAGTCTGCAGTTCTCGTTTTAGGGGAAAAGGTGCAATCATTTCATGATGTCACTTTTAAAAGAAACTTTGCAAAAATGTAGCGTGGTTTCATGATCTTTCTCACGATGCATCGGTCCAGGAAACGGAGGCGTTTGCAGACACCACCACTATGAAAGTTAACAAGAAGAGGATCATGCCTGTGGAGAAGCAAGGAGAGTACGAATCGAAGAGGTAAGCCCAGCCGTCGCGTTCTGCTGGCGCTGCGCACAAGGACTCTCTCGCTGGTGATGAAAAGGAAAGGCTAGACAGACACCTGTATGCTGTTGCCACAGTATCAGAGCACCTTCACAAAGACTGTGGGCAAAGGGAACTGAATAAACGATGTCCAAATCTGTAAGGAATCGAGGCTCTCGCTGATGTGGGATTTGAACCTTTGACCCCGGGACACTCTACTGGTGTTTTTTCAACCAAGCAATCCAGCTGTTAAAGGGATGATAGGCAGTGTCTTTTGTGGTCTGTTTGGTGAGGGTACTTTGAGGGGGGCCCAAAGATGAGAATTAAAAACAAAGTGCGTGGTTTTTCTTGTGCAAATACACTGCCTCTGAATAATCTTTCCATTATTTTTGTGATCATTTATCTTTGAGTCAGCTCCTTCGTTTGAGTTGATACACCTGATTTTTTTTTCTCAGACTGTGGAAAGATGTAACTCACTACCTCAAGACACACAATATCGACAAGGCGACGGCCAGCAAGCACTTCCTGGAGGAGAGACAACGCCGAGAAGCCAAGGAGAGGAAAGAGAAGGGGGAAAAATGGCAGACAAAGGTGAGGTCATGGGTCAGAGGTTACAGGTCAAGGCCTTCCACGGCAGAAAGAAGGTTTCTTGTACAAGTCTTGGATGGGAAAGGTAGTTCTGACATCTCTTCCAAAGTAAAAGGGTTACAGATTTAAAGAAAGATTCTGCTAGGATTGAAACGTCGGGCCCTCCTCATGTTGTGATCTAAAAAAACACAACAATCTTTATTCTGATAAAAACAGGTCACCTACTAAAATTCCGAGTGATGCGTCAAATTGTGTAATTTCACCTACATTCTACAGAGCCCTGTACAAGAGACTTCAATATACCAACTGCATGCCAAGGTCGAGTAAATATCTGGTGCACTGACTTGTTCCTGTGTACGCTCATGTTGGGCCTTTGAATTCCGCAGACCAAAGTCGCTGTTGCTGTTACGTGTACGTTAGAGATGGCCAGCACCAGGTCATCAGTCACAGTTTCTAGGAACAGTACTAAGACACCAGACTGTTTCAGTGCAGAAGCTTTCTGGTGTAGAACTTGCCTTCAAGTACCCGGGAGAACAAACAATGCAGTTGAAAAGTGCAGTACTTTAGGTGTTATTCAGGAATGCTGAATTGCATTAAGAAGTGTTAAATGAAGCACTTCTACCAATTTGTGCAGTTCTTCCACGAGGATGGGGAGAGCTGGATATTTGACAACCCTCTGGAGAAACGCATCAAGGCAGCCCAGGAGGACGCTGGCCGTAAACAGCAACAGCAGCGCCCACAGCCGCAGATTCCACTACCAGTACAGCAGCAGCAGCAGCAGCAGCAGCAACCACCACCGGCCCTGCCGTCAGCCAGTACTGACCTCACAAACTCTCACATTCCGGGGGTCCATGGAGATGGTCCGGCTGGCAACAAGACGACAGCGGCCACCAGGACAGCCAATCAGGAGCTCATGGACTTCCTGAGCTGATGCAGCAGGGGGGGAGGGGATCGTCGTGGCAACTGTGTCTATGCAGACTTTAGCTTGGCGCACTGTCTTGCGATTTCTGTCTTCAACAGTGACCAGTAGCATTTAACAATGAGTAGAGAACAGAACTTGTTATTCAAAACCAAATCCAGAATAAACTGCTATTAAATGCAATGTGAACCACAGAAAACTGCACTGTATTGCACTTGGAAAACTGTGCTTTATAAGCATGTTTCTTTCCTGTTAAAAAACATTCACCGTTAATAAGTCCTCTTCCCGACAGCTGTATATCGATGCGTTACCCCGTTATGTCTGTACAAAACCACCAAATCATTTGTTCCATAAAGAGACGACTATTACCTCACATGCTAAATTATGGCATCACATGTAGTGAAGGGTCTTGGAATTTGAGCCGAGTTTTAAAGTTAAGCTAAGAAATTGAAGAGCAACTCTGCTTCCTCCCTGCAAAGAAAGAGGAAAAATGGGCAGGTAAACTTAAGTTGTACATACTGAAATCAGTTATCAGGATGGAGTTGTATTTATTTCAATCTTTTTAGACAGAGACCAACGAAGGAAACAGCACGGCTCTTCTAAAAGTCGTCTTTATTAAAACAATCTGAAAAGTGTCAATTCATATTTGTAGCAACGTGACAATAAAGCATCTGGGGTCTGTTGTTGCACTGCGCTCAGTTGGACAGCCGTCTAGCAGAATTTAATCAGTACAAGGCAAATTGAATCAGTACCAAGTGATACAGATCCCGTACCAGCTTTTGTCGGTAACCCAGCAATCTCATGTTTTCTGCAGCTATGATACAAAGCCCACGTTCATCATTGTTACATCGCTCTTCCAACATGTAGTATACAAACATCGCTAAAGATATACAGAGTAGAAATATTAAACCAAATTTATACTGGAAACCGACCTGCACTGTCATGCACAGAGAATAACGTGTTGCAATCTTGTCAGAGTGTCTGTGTACAATATCAGGTATAGTGAAGGTTTGGATGAAAGGCATTGTTTGAAAAAAGGTTGTTTTAGCTGTTAATTTTGTGACCTGTCACCACAAAATGAGCTGAAGGTTGGAATTTTCAAAAAATTGCGATGCTGGTACTTTTGAAGTCAGCAGAAAGAGCTTTCTAATTATGCATACACGGAGCGCTGAGGGTAAAAGGATTAAGTGGCAACGAGACGTTATTGCGGCTGCTTGGTGTCTATTTCTAACATTGTTTCAACATTTCTGACCAGGCACGAACACTGCCTGCAAAATATTTGGAATTAACCAGGCGATGGGTTACTCTCTCTCAATGTTACAAAGCCCCAAATATTCCTCCACTTCAGTGACTTTGAACCCTCTAAATAGGAAAGTGCAGGGTGCGACTTTAACTCTCAGTTTGTCATGATGGGTCACGTCTGTCAAGGCCTCCCCCCAAGGCCTCCCCCCAAGTCTTCCAGCCAACAGGGTCTGATCACTGATAGTTTAAGTGATCTTCTCAATGACTGGTACTCGGGACAAGTCTACTAAGGTAATTTGCATTGCTTTTTATCAATAGCACAGCACAGGGAGCTGTGGACAGTCATTGTAATGTATCAATTACAAAAACTGTTGTCACTCTTGCTGACTGTATCCAAATTACTTCACTTTGGCTTGAAATTACACCCGACAATGGAAAGTGGCAGACACAGTGAAGTAATACAGATGCAGCCTGACTATTGTGCTATAATTGACGAAAAGGTCAAAGATCACTGAGTAAATATGCTTATTTGAATTAAAGACATACTCTTCACCGTAACTAACTGGAAGATACTTAAACAATTCCTCACTGAAATGTGCTCACTAATACTTGATTTCAACACTTTGAAGTCAGATAATTTTTAGTTGTGTAGAAAAATATAAAACTTTGCAAATGAAGTTGACAAGTGCTAGTACTTACTGTTTTTGTTAATTGCATGGGTCTATGTTTCATTGGAAGTGCAAATGCTACATCTTGGCTATGGGCCCCCAAAAGGCAGCATCTAACATATCTCGGAACCAAAGACTCAACTTTTTTTGATAGCGAGGCATTGAACTCGCATGTGCAGTTCATTTAAATGGTTATAAAGCTACATAAGAAAAATCCTGCGTTGACCATTACTTCTGATTCCGATCTCTCAGCTTATGGTAACCCATTGCACTGTACATCTGGAAGAACCACGTAATAATAAAAATTTTCACATACCTAGTGTAAAACAACTAAATCCACAAACACATATGTTCAGATTAAACCTAAATTTAGGCATAAAGATCCTTGCCTTCAAATAAGTTTTAAAGAAACGTGAACACAGGTAATTCCATAAATCAGAGTGCAAACTTGTAAAAATAAAGATAATGAAATTCCTCTGTGATTGCAGCCACTATCGCATTGTATTATCCCGGAAAAGCCAAAATACTACGTAAAAGTCCATTCACTGTTTTACTTGTAAGGGGACACCAAATCTATTATTTCTTTGTCATACTGAGCAAGGTATATTATTCCAAACTGATTTTCACTTGTCTCCAGGATTACACTTGTTTATTGCGAAAATACCTTGCTTAGCATAAAAAAATAATTTTGTGCATAAATATGTATGTATTTAGGGGACACTACAAGTCAACCTAGAAATGGCCCATGTTAACATGGTTCCAAGCTTGCTTTTAAAATGTCACACTTTTATTAAGTGGGCTATAAAGTAACGGTGATACGTTTGGACAGTGAAGCCAAATGTTGTTTTTTTCTCGGAAACATTTCACAAATTTCACATGCAAGAAGATTCCATAAAGTGGGTTTTGTTTTCACATGAAAAATATTTGGGTTACAAACTCTGAATCTAATTCAGCTAACAAACCTTCACAAATTCAAATGTAATGCTATTCTAAAGCATTACTACTTTAACACAATGTAGGACACATTTTCATACACAGGGTAGTACATGATGCATACGAGAGCCCCAAATCACACATTTTTGAAACAATTATAAAATGTTGGACAGCTTTGATGCCCCCTTACGTACAAATCTGTTATTAGGACACCCATACTTTCAGAAAATGGCTTGACATTTCACCCTTTGCTACCAGAAGTTTTGGTTCAAGTGCTTCAACTCACCTAAAATCTCTGGCAAATATTTCACTCTTTGGTAGTAACAAGTAAAAAAAATATGTTAAGGACTACAAAGTTCATGGGGCTACTCATTTATGGAATCACCCACATTCAGATCACTAACTGTGTTACTTTTTACATCTATTGCAGGAAGACCAATTCTGAATATGTACAACCAAATACCATTTTTATCTACATACAGAAATGAATTTCTGAGGTCAATCCAGCTGAAGACATTTCTAGGGTGAACCCCACCACCAATCAGTCCACAAAACTGACACAATATCTCACTGCACTTTTACCAAAGAAGCTTGTGGACACTGACGCAAATCTTATTGGAAAATCCACACAGAAAAATACAATACAAAGAGAACATGGCAATTTATACACAAATCAGAACTCATGCAATATGTTCTTTTCTCCAAAAAGTAAAGGGGGAGGGGTGCTAAGTCTCAAAATGGTAAAATACAAAACTGCCCAATGTAATTCTTACCAAAGAACTAATTTCTAGTCACACTGGCCACATCCGTCTCCACACCTTTCAGTGATGATGTGGCCCAGGTGACGTGATTTTCAATTTCGAGGAAAATGTTTCGGTAGGTGCGATCTCCAACTCGACCAAGTTTTGACAGGCTAAGAATCTTTTTCAAGTTGGGACCATCATTCCACTAGTAAGTAGTACGCGTAATGTTTGTGTGATCGCATTTTGCAAGTTCATTGTTTCATTTCCCATCTTCGGAGAGTTTTTTCCATTTTTTCATCTAATTGATCGCAAAGCTGATGACAAAGAAGACGACAGCGACGATGACGCCCACCGCATAGACACAGAGAAGAATGGTCTTGGCCGTTGAGCCCTGCAAGTCAACAGGTCAAAGGGGGAAAAAAAGGAAGACTTGCTGAACAAAAGTCCGACAAAAGACGAGAGCCCAAGGGTGAGAAACGTCAGTGATGACGGTGAAGCAAAGAGAAAACAAGTGGTAGGGTTCTTTATGAGGTCGGGCTTGTAAACTTCAAGTGATGTACAAGTTGGTAATGAGGCCCTTGCACAAAAAAGGTCTTTTTTTCTACATTCAAAGCAAGCAATGAAATACAAGCCTGGTCAAAAGACCATGTTGCTTAAAGCAGAGGAAATCTTTTTTTTTTTTGGAGAAACTGATTTTCTCTTTGTTTCGAATTAAAGTTTCAGACTATTCAAAATTAGTGAAGACATTTCTGTAGGGGAGGGGATAGGTCCCTGGGGGCTGGACTTACACTTGATGAAAATGTCTGAGCTGCTACATCATGGAAGAAAGTAAAACCATGCAAAACAAGGAACAACGCAAAATAGCAAGTCCACGAAAAGGTTCACTATTTGTCCCATATGTAATGCCATGCTTCCTTTAACAGTCGGTTAGAAAGGCTAGTAATGCATGTATACAATTCTTGTGGGTGTTGTCCATCCAGACGCCCAATAATAAAATGAAAGTTAAACCCGTAAATGTTTTCAGGGGTAAAACTTGGGACAGGGTGTGGTGCAAATTGGGAACTTGCCTAAAAAAGAGCAATCTTTGCCGTTCATCATCCCCGAAATGAAGCAAGCCCTTTTTTAAAACCGCACCTGATATGTTGAAATGGTACCCCAAGCTAGTTTGTGGGCACTGCACCATTGTGCCTTGTTTCATTGCATAACTTTAATTCTGTCCATTGATTCATGCACTTAGAGATTTTAGTCAATGACTAAGCTGTGAAGCAATCCTTATACTTTTTGAACTCATAATCGAAGCAATTTAAAAAAATACGCATTTCAATGAAAGAAGCATAACTGTAGGGTTGAATTTGCTCTGTTGAATATAGGTAACAATCAGCCTCATAATACAGGCACAGCTACAATGCTGTGTCACATTCCGAGCAATGTTAACATCTAAAAGAAATGACGCAACAGGGTTAAAAAAAAAAACGTAAAACTCGGCAAGCTATTAAAAGTAGCAGAGTTGATGGTGCGGGGGAACATTAGTACAAATCACAATAAAGTTAAAGACACTGCATGAGTATATGTTTATGCAATGACCATCTACATGTGTACTGTTGGGGCGGTACATGCAGAAGATCAATAGGCCTATTTATTAACCCGACAGTCCTCAATTTACCAGTTGGATTGACAAACTCAGACTTGCTGAAAAAGGCACTAAGACTCTTTTTGTGGAATCTGGCTACACAAATACTTTTTTTACCCAGGGTAAAAAACCTAATTTATTCCCACGTTTTTCCAATTTGGCAGTGCCCCAAACAAGAATGAGATGGCACACACACAAATTCAGTTCTTGCATGTTGCTTTCAACGGATGATTTCATGACAACAAATGATGCGGGTGGAACGTGAAGATGCAGGGAATCACTTCACATGATCTGCTTAACTCATGGTTCGCAGGTGGCATTCAACATGTTCAAGAACGGCAAAATCAACGTAGTGGCTTCTTTCCGTTGTATTGTTCCCCAGAGCTTTCCCCAAGGGGAAAAAATGAATGGATGGACAGGGACAGGTGCAGGAGTTAATCAGGCAATTGTTCGGTGCACTACCTCGAGAGGGCGCTGCATTCTTTTTGTGGGCAGAGCCGTATATAGGGACAGTGGCGATGTGTCACCATCGTTGGAAATAAACTGGCAGGTGCGTGGGCCAGAGCACTCGGTAAGCAACAGCCACACGCTCTCCTGTACACATAATGAACAGCCATTTTGCTTCCAAAATCCGAGGCCGGCACCACTCTCACTATAAACAGCTCTGTCTGCAGAAGGTCGATGAACTTTAAAACCCAGGTACATATACATGTGTGTAATTTGAAAAGGAGGATTTTTGTGGATGAGGGAATTGGAAAGGAAAAACGAAGGATTGTTTGAAATATGGAAAGGTTCTGGATGTGATGAGTAACAGACTGGGGAGCATTTTGGCTGAGGAAAGAATTTCAAAGTTGCATCTTCATGACTATGAGTATTTATCGCCAGACCCCCTTAAACATGTTAAAACAAATTACCCTGTACCCTATCAAAATGCTACATGTACATGTAAAAGCAAACCACAAAACTGAATATAAACTTGTGGCCTACAATGACCAAAGGAACTGAGTCATGGAACTTTTGCTAACAAGTACTGGTAAATGCATTTCATTTAAAAAACTACTGGCATTCATGGGTCAAAACACGAGGCGATGAAGATGCATGAACCAAACACAAACAGAGGGGTGTTAAAAGGACCAGTCATAATGCAAGGCATCATTCGCATAAATGAATACATGAATATTAACTGAAATCCCCGACCTCTTCAGTTACTTGCGATATACAGGGACCTTCCACCATCAAGTCATCCTGTAGATGGGAAAAATTTGCACAAACACGAATGACAAAAAAACCCCAAAACTGAGAGCCTCGCATTCGTTGCTGAATGTACCAGGGGCTCGTACACAGTGCTGGTGATGTAGCTTGCTTTTCCATTTCAGAAAATTAGAAACATATTCCAAAATTACTGGGATATCCTGATAGAAAGAGAAGAGTTTTATTTGAAAGATATTCTGACAACAGAGATTACAGACGCTGCCAAGGTGTGCGTTATCTTCCTCATTAAAGAAGCAAAGGAGCTGCTGCCAATTAGTCAGCAGGCAAAGAACTATACACAGAACTACATGTATCACCAATTAAAGAAAAAAAAGGCTGTTTTCTCAAAAGCAAATGCCCGAAAATTTAAATCCCGAGTATTCTAGATATTAATCTCAACCATCTTCTACATGTAGGCCAAATATGCAGATGATCAAATTCTGAATAATGCATTTTTAAAATTCAAGCCAACTAAGGGAATAAAACCCTTTCGTGTTATCAAACAACATGGGCATCAGTACAACCCATACAAATATTAAAAGGAACACAGAAGTAGTTTAAGGTCAGCGTTACAATATTTGAACACTGTGACTTAATTTTCTTCGGGATTTGAGTCTTTGAGCTCATTTGTAACATCTCAAAAAGCAAAAGCAGGGGGAAAAGCAAAAAAAAATTGCATATAAAAGGTTGTACATTTGTGAAGTACATGTAAAAAAGATGTATTGTACAAATGTACTTAGAATCCCACTGAATAAACTGTTTACATTCCATTAACTAGTGTTTTAACTGTCAAAAACAGTCAAAAATGCCTTCCAATTGATTTCCCCCAGTACATACATGTAGACACATATGGGGAATTTGACTGATTTTGACTGATATGACAACTGTGTCAAGAATGCATCAGAGCATAGGAGGGTTAGAAAAATAAAAGCTATTCGAACTAAATAACAAAATTCCCTTAAAACAAGATTTGTTGATGATACCCGAGAGCTCGCATTAAGGGGCTAATTCAAAGTACCGGGTAAATAGAAAGCATTTCGTGCACTGTGTAAAGGAAATATTTGCAACCTAATTAAAATAATTAAAAGAATAAATCAATTCCATGTTTAGAATGATTTGTTACTGCTTAAGCTAAGCTGCACTTTCCTGGGAAAAAATCTTGGAAAGAAATTTACTGTAGTGAGAGTCAAGATATTATGATGTGAATTTCAGCAATGCACAAAAATTCTGTGGGGCTTAAAAAAACCACAGTTTTATTTCGAAAGTTTTGTTTGATACCTTTGATGACCCTGCAACTGAAAGTTTGAAGTAACACTTATCGAGAAAACTTGACCATTTTAATACAAGGTTCTGACTGGAATTCAATTCAGAAACTTGACATTCATTTTCAGGAAAGATGTCAACTTGTTA